ATGAGTTGCTATGTGCACTCCTGCTATAAGTAAGAGGTCTGCAGTTCATGAGTTGCTATGTACACTAGCTCCTGCTATAAGTAAGAGGTCTGCAATTCATTCAGGAGTTCCATTTATCAAAATGCTTAGACATGTCACCAACACTGCACAAACGTTTTCAGATCAACACTGAAGCACAAGAATGAAGAATCACTCCATTTTAAATATGTTGTTTTCAGGTCCAAATGTGATTACACATGGACAATATAGCTCTTCGTACACCTGTTATGGAATTGCTCTGTCCCCTAATGGACTTTATGTTGCACTACTCCACAGTCCGAACATAACGCGTTTGCAAGTACATAAAGGCAAAAATAAGCAAGTAGAGGTAGGACCGAATACATGTTCTCCACATTAAAAAAAATATTATTTCATGATCCAAAAAAATTCATCTGTCATAAAACTGATATTTTTCTATTTTCAGGTCAGTATCTTATCGATATTTTCAGAGGAGTTTCTCTCTAATGTCATTACACAATCCTCTCTTAGTTCATTATGGGACGTTCAGACGGCAATCTGTCAGCACTACAGTCAAAATGACCCTCCCAAGAATGGACCTTTGTTAGAGTTCTTGAATCAATCACTGGATAGCATTCCTTTTCTCTCTTTATTATTGCGACGTCGCTTAGTGGATCAATTATCAAAAAAATCGGAAATTGATAGTCTTACTTCAGAAGATGGTGATGCTGAATCATTTACTGGTCAAGACTGGAAGCTTGAAAGCATACAGACAGGACGGCAAATTGTCAAGAGGTGTTTAACATTATCATTGAAATCTTGGCTGCAAGACTACAAAGAATTTGAGCATACTGAGAAAGGTATTGAATATCACTTCCATTCATCCATCGATCCATCCAATCATCCATCAATCCTTCCATCCATACATCCATTCATCCATTCATCCTTTCCTCTCTCCCTCCCTCCCTCTCTTCCTCTTTCCATCCATCCATTCATTCATCCCTCCCTCTCCCTCCCTCTCTCCCTCTTTCCATCCATCCATTCATCCCTCCCTCTCCCTCCCTCTCTCCCTCCCTCTCTCCCTCCCTCTCTCCCTCCCTCTCTCCCTCTTTCCATACATGCCATCCATCCACTCATCTCTTTATTTGTTTGTTTTAGCCTTGACATCATTGATGGTAATGAGTGACTGGTTGGTAATGCAATACAGCGATCAAGAATCGCTTGATCTAGCAGTACAAGTCTACAACACTACAGGAAACAGCGCAAGCGCAGCACAAGCAGCGTCCATACGAGAGGAAAGATCAAAAGAAAGCGAGAAGGTCTTGACGGATCCTCTTAAACAGGAAAGAGTTGAGAAACCTGAAAACGCTGTTATTGACTTGACACAAAACACAGAACACGTGTCTTCAAATGGACTACCCCCTCGTGAGAAATGTAGACTATGTCAAAAAGACGTACTCTTAACAAGTCTGATCAGCGCAGAATGTGCCAACGGTCATGCGTGGAAGCGTTGCCTAGTTACGTTCTGCGTTTGCGCAGACTACTCATATAACCGTTGCCAAGACTGCGGTGGTTGCATTTCTTTGATTGGTCAAGAACAATCACCATGGTTACAGAAACGTTTACGCGAGACGCAGGTCTGTTCTTTGTGTCATGGGTGGAAAGATTCGCGCGTATGACACGTGACTGCCATCCTTCATATAGATGTATAGACATAGATAGAAAAACATTACATCTCATACTTCAATATCTTAACCTTGCTATTTTATTGGACATTTGAAACTATTGATATTATGTGGTGTGTTGATTGAGTCCAGTGACGGGCTGTCAATCTGTGTTTGCATTCGTGTCTGAGAAAAGAAACCTGTAAAAACGTACGCAGTGATTGAGAAGACTTTTAAGACAAGGATTTGTGCCTGTTGTCTTAACGATACAGATGACTTTATAGGACTAGTACTGATAGGCAAAGGATTAGAGTCGATAAGATTGACTTGCAATAAACTCAGACTTTTCATACTGTTGACATTTTATGTTTGCTAACATGTGATTGGTCAGAACTGGAGACTTTGTGTTTCAAATCAATTACTGACACTGTTGAAGGTTGATCAGTAACCAGCGAACAGAGCAAGAATAACTGAACCAAGTCTACTCGATTCATGCTGGAAAACCCAGACCAACAACCAAGACCCCATGTAGTTCAGTAACAAGTCTGTTTTTGTAATGTCATGAAGAGTCATGGTTTTGTTCTGTGTTTACTTGGTAGCTATTGTTCTTCGTTACTTCGCCGTTTGCATACTCGCAGGTAAAATGTGACGTGGTCAACCTAACCGCGTAGTTTCGTTGGAATGGTGTGGTGGTTAATCCTAGGCATGTTTATAATGCAGCACACATCGCAGGGTCTGGTATATTTATTGCTACTATCAGTATTACACTAGTACACACTTTATATGATATTGCCATCGCCCCTCCGTCGAGTGGTAATGTTGACTTTATTATCACGGAGAAAATAAATCTTTATTTTCAAAAGCTAGATACTCTTTCTTGATGCACCTACACGTAGTTTTGAATGTGGCCACCAAACCTCCAACTAAACTACACAGTAGAGATTTAATGTAAGGCGTTGTCTATCTTGTGTGATACATGATAAGACGAGCATGTTGGCGTTTTAGTCTCTTCAGCTGAATAAACTTACACTGACTGAATATACACAGCGATGGAAACTTTGGATGATCTTACAGTATCACAACACTGATCTTTTTGCATAGTAGTGATAGGACTGTTCCAGTTAGGTTAGGTATCATGAGACGTGATGGTAATCAGAGGATAGACTAATAAGTATATAGTCAGTCAAGATGTACGTCTGTTGTATTTTAGCAACTAAACTATGTAGCCCACAGTACTGTCAGTCCACGTGTAATTCCTTGCTTAAAAATCTCTGACTTAATGAGTTGTCTGTTCTGTTATTTGATGATTTTTAAGCGAGTTTTGATTCGTTATAGCTAACTTCGCTCAATGGGGCGGCTTCCGTCATTCACCTTTATTGTAACTTTTCCACATTTTTAGTATGATATCATTTACTAAATTATAGATAAGTAGAAAAATAGAATAAACGCGCAAACAGTTTTTCTGGTTTTATTGTCCGCGGTTTTTCTCGATCGCCCAGATGGTAACTGCTTTAAATCAATTTAAAAAGAAAAATATGACTCAAAATAATTTTTCATTATATTTTTTATATCATTTTAAATCCAATTAAAAAAAACCATTAACGCTTAACTGTAGAAATTTCTTACGGCTGTTTGGAGCTGATTTTAAAACTGAATTGAACACAATTACACTACAAAAACGTTTTGCTTATTATTATTGATAGTATCAATATGTAACGCAGGAATTATTGGTACTTTTCGGGGTTCAGGTTTATGTTTTTCTGATTTCCTGACATTGTGTGGTCAGTAAACAAAAACCACCAAAGATATGGGATCAGGATTTGCATAACACTCTTGTTAGCTGAGCAACAAAGTAAACTAAAATTATCGAACATCATTCAACTGTCTTGCAAATAATAAAATTATTGACAAGGATATCCTTAAAAACTATTAAATGGTCATGTCCTAGTAGGCACCAGTAATGAGCAAACTATACTTGGATTAAAACTACATTCAGTGAAGGGAAAGGTACTTCTCACCTTTGAACAGCATTTTGAGATTCATGTAATTTCATTTTAAGATAAGAACAAATTTGACATTTGTACAAAAAGAACCTCTAAGTCATTCATTTTCTTGCGCAACCTTCACTTTCTGTATAATGGAATGTAAAAATGTAACTTCAAGAAAAAGTTGACATATCTATCAAAGTAGATCTCAAAAACAAACAGAGTGATATTTTGAAATAAAAATGTCTGACATAATGTAAGTTCCCTGTAGTGCCATCTGATTTAAGTAATTTTTATGGTAACCGCTTCGTTCGAGGTTGGAAGTGTTAATAACATTTGGTTTCAGGTTAAATTAATTAGGTGCGAGATTTTCGACTTTACTAATGGTGAACCGTAAGATAATTGAGGGGGATGTTTTTGCTCGATATTTATTAATTTTTTCGTAACAACCCCGACATGAAAGTTTTTGTTTTTGTTTATTTGCTCGATATTTCTTTTCTGAACGGAGAGATTACGCGATATCAGTTTTTTCGTAGGTGAAGTGCTTGCTCGATGTATTTTTTAGGATTTACGCAATCCCCTCCTCAATAATCTAATGGTTCGTCCAATTCCGGCATTTTGATTGTATAATATATGTTTTCTCAGTTTCTGATTGGCCGAGGAAACTAAACTATTTGCGTGGCACGCACGATACGGTACGTATTTACGGGCGATGATTCAAGAGTTAATAACTTAATCATTGTTATGATTTTTTGATTTCTTGACAGACTCGACGTCTAACATTACTACAACTGTGCTGCATAGTACAAGCTACGTGTTTACACATACTCATACCCAAACACCAACCTTATCAATTTTACCGACGCCTTTGGGAGTCATTTCATCATCATCCACAAGCAGTCATGCACCAAGATTGACCGCCACACCTGCGTCAAGTAAAGATACAATCAGCTTGAGTAGTATGTATTCCTCAGTGATCAGTAACGATACAAACGTAAAAAGAAAACCTCCGAGAATACCAGGTGGTGGTGCAGAGCTTTCCTCGTTTGGTATTGTGATGGTTGTAATTGCTGGCATTCTTGTAGCAGTCATGATTGTATGCTTGCTGATTATATGCTGTAGGGGCAGAGAACGAGGGTATGTATTACACGGAAAAACCACAACAAAACAAACATGAATAAAGGAGCGATGGAAAAAAATGGGATATTGGGGGGCACTGACGTCATGTCATGTCAATTTTGAATGGTTTAATTATTTTTTCCATTTTTAAGGCCTGAAAGAGCGCATACTCCACATCATTCCAACGTCAAAATGAAACCTTGGAAGTAAGTATATTATAGATAAATAAGTTGTATGCACTGCACCCTCCAGCATCCCATCAGCCACTGCAGGTTGCTTTTATAGTAGTAGCCGCTGGTCAAAATATTTTATTGTAAGTGCGCTTTATTCATTTTAACCAGAACAGCAGACCTAAGCACAACAAATGAGCTTTCTGAAGATTCCATATACAACACGAACCATCCAAAAAGTCATCATAATTCAGGACTCGTAAAGTAAGTATTGTTACGTACTGGGATACTTATGGTGCCAGGAAGTCCAATGTCATTGTCGGACAAAACTGTGATGTAACCTGAGCCCGGCATTGCTTCGCTACATTTATTGGAAATACCCTTTTTTGTTTTTGCATATTAAAAATTGAATTTTGTTCGAACAGTACGAGTCCACAGTTGAGTCCCACGTCCAACAACAATTCCTCGCTGAATACGACTACAGAATCATTCCGGTGAGTTCAGAATACTAACACCTACTTTCCTATTTCTCTTTGCGCAACTAGAAAAAGTGTTATCCAACAGCAATAGACTTGCTCTCCATGACATAAAACTTATAAGATCCAAGAGTAAACAAATATTGTATAAATAACTAATAATAAGTAACTGTACGAAAATACAAAGTCAAAAATTGAATGGAACCTGTGGTCAGCCTAAAAGGATACGCTAAATATTACAATTGCTACGGTAAAGGGACCGTATAAACAAAACAGTTAACGTCCCTTCCATCATAGTTTATAACTCTAGACTTCCGGTTGATTTAATAGGACACTACAAACAAACTCCCACGGGGACTTGGGGGATTTTGGACGCAAATTATCCCTTGGGCGTCAAGCCTACGAACCACAGGTGTCCGTAGAAGAGGATGCCGCTGTTCATGAGCCTGCATTAGAGGCTAAGGTACGTCACTATCACGTGACTGCTATAAAAAAGACCGTTTGGTCTATTCTTTTGTAAATAACTGCAAGCTTCGTACTGTGTCGTATGATTTCTGCTGTATACAGTGCCAGCATGTTTTTGTAGCTTTGTAATTTTTTCAGTGCATGATAATTGTTTGCCAAAGTTATTCTCTCAACCAGAACTTCTTGGGTCCTCTTTTTGGAATGTTGGAATCATCTAATGCTTAAAAAAGTAAACTAACAGTACTAAATAGATAATACATCCAGTATACTCCAATCTTTTCGATCTTTATTTCTAGGGAGAGTCAGCTGATATGAAAGTCCATTACGTATGACACTGAGGGAATTCGCCAAAGAATCGAATCACCCAAGCAGCTCTCAGCACTACCTTACAAAACTAACAATTTTGTTAGCACTGCTTCCAGCACTTAACGTGTATGCTCAATTTTGAGAAACATTTCTAGTTTTCTTGGCCAAATGCTGTAAATACAAATTACCAATGTCATTCTATACTTTTATTTTTTTACCATTTACCATTCATAATGTCCATATACTAATAAAATCATACTCCAAGAAATTTATCTAAAAAATAAAGTATTGTCTATTATAGTTGTGTGTTATACACCTAGTTGTTCATGCTTCTTTACCATGGAACATCAGAAATGCTACTTTAGCAATGCCATCAATGTTACCAAAATAATTTACATTTAGCTTTTATTGAGCAAACTGCAATTGAATGACTGACAAATAAGAGAGTTTGTCTAGCTATTTGAAGCCAATCCAACTTAGTTGAGAGACTTAAAAACAAGGTATTAACTTCTCCTGCCCCCTCGGGCTGTACTTGATAACCTTCATTAGGAGAGGGGCAGGGGAATATTAAAGTTGGAGAGAAAAGGGATGCATGAATAGAAGTTCCCTGGTTCTGCAGCCTGTTGCAGTTGTCCATTTTCCCACTGCATTCGTGTTCAGTCTTCCTCATCAGATGACGATCCATAATCACACACTAAAGACTGAATGTTTCTTGTCTCTTCTTTTGCCAGATTGATCTTCTTCAGTGTATTTGTTTCCTTACTCTGATCTGCAGCCTGCTTCCGAGACCAAGCAACCAGATCAGAGAGTGTCTTGGGTGGGGAGGGTGGGGGGTTATATTGATCAGGCATTCCACCTTGTACATAAAGGTGATCAGTGTTTGGATAATACCCAGTAGCTTCGCTGATGTCGGTTGGTGGTTTTCTCTTAGAAGGTAAATCTGGGATGATTTTCCCAGAATCTACTGCAGCATCCAGTAATTTTCTTTTCGCAATGGCTTCCTTTCGCTTCTGTGTCCAGGGATTTGGGTCGTCTGTAGCCCAACGAACGTTTAACACTTCATCATTATCCAGTGATTGTCCCTGCATAGCTTCCATTGCAAATTCTGCATTAGCTCGGTTGTTGTATCGTACGAAAGCAACGCCTTTGTTCTCAAGGACTCTAACATTCTGGATATCACCCCATTCGCTGAAGTGCTTGTACACAACGGCCTGCATATCAGGAGATCGCATAACACCCCCTATATATAAGGTCCTAGATGTCTCATCATCCGCCATAAACGATCCTACTCCACTCTGATCATCTCTAACGTTCTCATGACGTTCTCTCCCAAAACAGTCCCTCATGGTACCTTCACTATCTCCCTTCGGTATAACATGCTTCCATGAACAATCGTATCCCAGTGGACAACATCCACGAGCAAAATTCAAGCAAATACCAGCGTCATCTCTATGGGAACCCCTAGTTTCTCCAGCATCTGTTGATGCATGACAGCGAGTCGTTGCCTTGGTTCTTTCTTCTCCTGGTTTGTGTCGACTGCCTGAGTACTTATTATACCAAATATTATAATCTTGTTTCGGCTTAGAATCTGATTTCTGTGGACCTACTGGTTTGACTATTTGTTTCCTTGCTTTGACCATTGCTAAGCAATAAAAAACGTCAAAATATTATACGCAGTTCGTCCGCCATTTTGTTCTCGTTCGCAATAACGTCTGGGATCCCTATGTTAGATACACCGAGTGTGGACTGGAAAAGATCATAGTTGGGCTTCCTGTGGTTTGATTCATAACATCATGAGCACTTTACGTTCAAAGGTGAGTTTTGTTATGTTTTTATTGCAGAAATAACCGATATGTCATCCTATTCATGACTTTTTGTGATGTAGAATTCAATAAGATTGCTCCTTATGCCGAATTAAGACTTATTTCCGCAAATTTCAGTCGTAGAAAACACTTTATATCATTCCCAGTTTTTTTATGTCAAACAAGAGATTGAAAGATTTCCGAGTCAACGACAGTGAAACTTTTAAAGAATTTTCCTCAATTCAAAGCCTTTTTTCTGGTTCGATGTAATGGAAAATGTCCGATATTATCTCTAATTTATCAGGGCAGGTCATGCTCTTTT